AAGACTTACCGTGAAGTCAACTTACCCAGAGAGACCAAACCTCCAGGGATGGGAGGGAGGGATAATACTCGCCTCCGTGTCATTAATAAAATCATGACTTTACGTCAAGTTAATAGTTAAATCTGTAAATTTTATTAAGACACACAGGCTTCTATTATGCTGAAGTGTTGAATAGGTCTAAAGTAGAAATCATGGAATGTAGACTCCGAAGACAAGCCGCTCTCATAATATCCTCCAAGCTACAACCAATCAAGGAAGCCTTAGAAGCCATTGCCCCACGAACCGAATGAGGCACAGACACATATGTATCAATACCTGCTAGAGACATAACATATTTGACCCACCAGGCTAGAGTAGACACCGGAAGATGCGACTTTTGGAAGGAGATGAAGAGTTCCTGTTTTAAAGGATTCTGTAACGTAGTGGAACGATGTTCACACACGCATTAGTATGCAACAGGGCAAAGTAGAGATCTATCAGGGAAAACTGGGTAAAGTTGATTTGAGAGGAGGTTTTTGTCCTGGGTGAAATGTCAAAGGGGACACCATCTGGAGTAAAAGAACGAGCAACCACCTCAACAGCTCGTACGTCAGAAAAACCTCTTGCAAAAAATAAAAAATAAAAATTCAAGACATAGAGACGTCCCACAAGACAGAGTATCGTGGTAAGGGTGGATAAGCAAACCATATTCCTCAGAGAAGTCAACATATGACAGTATGTCAACCAACAGGAGTCCAATCGAAACTTTGATGGCCAGCAGAAATGGACGTTCAGTAAGATCCATAGTGCGATAGGCTTTACCTTCATCACAGGAGTCAGAAAAATAGACAGACCTAAAAGGAGCCAATATGAGATTTAAATTTCATTTCATGCACCAACTAAGCCATCTGCTCCAAGCAGATTTATAAGCTTGTCTCGTGTTGGGTGCACCCTTGATAAGTTGGGGAGTTGATTGCGAAACTCCCTCAACCGACCAAGGTACCCTGAAATAGACTACACCATGAGATGCAAGAGACCTTGGAGAACAAGGGGATGAGGCATACCGTCTGGATCCTGAAGAAGGCACTCGAGAGATGCAAGGTCGATAGCCATCTCCTGAAGACGAGAGAACTATGGTTGGGACGGCGATAGAGAAGCCACGATCACCAGGTGCCGGACTGGCGATGTAGATGGAAAGGCAACGGGGAATCAGTGCAAAGGGCAGAAAATCGTAATTCCTTGGAGAAAACATTCATTGCCAGGGCTATCGGATCTGGTCTCCAACTGAAAAAACAGTGAAGTTGAGCATTTAAACGAGAAGTGAAAAGATCTATTTCCAATAGACCCCATAGGTTCCAGATGTCTTGGAAGACTGTGGAATCCAAGTGCCAGTCACTGGAATCTCTGAGTTGGCGTGAATACCAGTCCGCCGTAGTGTTGGAGAGACTTGAATATATTCTGCCGTGACTGAAATGCCATGTATCAGGCAAAATTGCCAGAATTCACGAGGCATGTAGGTCAGAATTTTGTGCCTCCAAGTGATTGATGTAGCGGACTGCTGACACGGTGTCCATCTTCAGAAGGATAGCTCATTGAGCTTGAGTTGGCTAGAAACTGCGGACTGCAAAAGAATCGGCCAGATGTTCCAAACAATTCATGTGGAGTGTCGATTCCAGGTTTGATTATCTGCCCTTGGTGGAAATATTTCCGCATTGAGCACCCCAACTGTGCAAACTTGTGTCGGATTTAATTATCAAATCTGGAGCTGTACAAAATATGGTGAGCTCATTCCAAGCTTCCATGTGAAGAAGCCACCATTGGAGTTCATCCTCCGCTTCTGAGTCCAGAGTTACCACATCTGTGTATGATGCGCTGCCCTTGAGATGAAGTATGAAATCGTTGTAGGGCTCGATAGCCAAGAAGACCTGGAAAAATGGCCTGTATAGATGCCGCTAACAGAGTCAAAGTCCATGCAAGTTATATCCGGATTAATTGAATAGACTGAGCCAGAATGAAAATGCAGTCTAAATATATTATAAAACGTACTCCCCGACTCCGTAGCAGGGCGACCATAGGTTTCGTGAGCTTGGTGACGCACCATGGAGCCGGAGACAGTTCTTTTACAAAGTTGTCTCCAAAGAGAAAACCTTTTTCCTGTGTTATCTGACTCGTTCAGAGCCATAGTTAAACGTTTGGGCTCAATATTGAGCAAGATCGATTTGTGGCGTTCTGTGACAAATGCATTGTTGGTGTTGCCAACTTAAATCACTCTCTGGATCCAAACACTTAAGATGGTGCAATCTAATTCGAGATCATCCTCTACTGCTTCAAAGATCTTGGCTGCTGAGCCCAAGATGTCCAGGATTTTATCCTGACAGCTTTGCAATGAAAATCTAAGCCTTTAGTGGGCTTCCATCCTGTCTTACCAAGGAATTGAATGATCTTAGGATCGACTGATAGCGTTTTACATGAGTCATCAGGGACTGTTCGTCGTAGCCATTCAGCCCGCAATTTATTTCACTTTGCCTTCTCAAAAGGCTTGCATACTCTGGATGCAATATACTTGGCTACATGGTCTGAGGAGACCACTGGGTGACATAGGTCGTCAGGTTCGAATAGTGGTTCACATTGAGTGTCCAAGATCCTATCGGTGTCCCTGAGTCCGCATAATCTTGGTAGGTTTAACAGGAAGTGTATCACGAACGGGATTAGCATCCTCTTCATCAGTAATTTCATAATCAACATCAGAAATATCCTCTGAATCCTCCATATAGGACTCAGGGAACTCCTCCTCGATATCACTGAGCTCAGATTCAGAGTTCAGTTGGGCTTTTGCCCCTTTTTCAAAGTCTAGTCGATTTTGCCCAACTAGTAGCTCTTTTGCGCGGTGGTAAATTAATCGCGCCATCCGTGACAGGTATGGAGCTGTCCATCTCTATTGTTTTGGAGGAGTGTTTAGCCTTATATGAGGCCTTGCGGCCAGGCAGAAGCAGAGCAGGTGTGAGTACAGGTACACCTCCATATAGAACTCGGGGAACTTCTCCTCAATATCACTGAGCTCATATTCAGAGTTCAGTTGGGCTTTTGCCCTTTTCCAAAGTCTACTTGATTTTGCCCGACTAGTAGCTCTTTTGCGTGGTGGTAAATTAATCGCGCCATCCGTGACAGGTATGGTACTGTCTATCTATATTGTTTTGGAGGAGTGTTTAGCATTATATGAGTCCTTGTGGCCAGGCTGAAGCAGAGCAGGTGTGAGTACAGGTAGTGCCGCCCGGGTAGTCGGCTGGGCTGATCTCTGTGCCTGTAGCAGGGTCTGGGCAAATGTCTGTGAAAGTGAATCAGACATAACCTCCATCACTGACACCAGGGCATTTATCATTGCCTTTGCCTTGGAAATGTCAGTTAAAGCCTGCATATCAGCAGGAGCAGTAAAAACAGCAGAAAAATCAGCCTCATCTCCAGAGATACCTGGAGAGGCTTCTAAAGTAATCTCCATGTTTACTGTAGACCAAGAAGGCAAATAAAGATCCTGTCAGACTGCATCATAAATATACAGAGAAGCCTAAGGGAATGAATAAAGTAAAATAATACCAAATAATACCAGTTCCTGTTGCTAGGAAGATATACCTCTCATGTTATTTACTGGTTTCTTTTATACTGATTTAATGTTATTTTTCTTTGCCGCTGAGGTAAAGAAAGAAAGAGTGCAGCATAATAGGAGCCTCTGTGTCTTAATAAAATTAAAGCCAGTGTTCACTTTCTGAGCACTTAAGCGTCATTAGTAATGCAGATTAATTTGTTTATTGCTACACTTACACAAACATATCTTTTTCGTTTAGGTGGTCTTTTGCTGAAACTGTGGAAGAAAGCAATGTGCTCAGAAGATGGCAGAACAATAGGTCGAGAGCTTATTCTAAATATAGCTACAGAACCAGGATTTGCAATATCAAAAATGATTGCAATAATTAAAGAGCTCATCAAAAACTTTGCATGTGAAGTGTTAAAGAAAAAAGAAAAATAGATCATGAAAAAATTAGTTTAAAGATAATCAGATTGTGAAAATGCTTTGTTGACAGTCTTAATAAGTCAATGCTGTTACACCTAATTTTCCAATTAGTAACTCTTGTTTAGCTCATTCCCTTCTCATTAACAAATGCCTTGCTGGAAATATAAACAAGGACTCTGCTAATTAGTGTTCTAAGTGATTGCAAGAGGGGAGATTGATACAAAGCCGAGCAAATAACTGGACTGAAACAGAATTCACCTCATCTACGAGGTTGCCTGGCATAGAATGAGCTTGTCAATTGCACAATAGTGTTCGGTGAATGCTATGCTATAATAATAACAGGATACTTTCTGTACTGACTTCATTAAGTGTTTGCTGTCAAATAAGAGCAAACAGCAATCTCTTTAGATCTCACTTCACTGAACTGTGATAGCCTTATAACAGCCAACGCTGCATATTATGTACGCTAAAACACAATTGTTTGTTTTACATTTTCTTTGATCATGTTGTACCTGAATAATGTATTATAATTTAAAATATCGGTAAAGGATACAAAACTGCAGATCTCAATGTAACTGAAGTTATAGCATATCAATCCAGCTACAATGATGCAGGCTATTGGAACAAGTCTCATGCTCTCAAACCCTTCGGTTGCATTTTCATTGATTAATAAAAATTATAACAAAAACTTATGATTTTAAAAATCCATACATAACAGGGAGTTTTGTGCAAGTTTGATTAAATGTTACTTTGACCTTTAATATCTCCAGACATAACTTTCAATTACATCGTGTCATTCAATAGATACACTTAAAATGTTTTGTCATTATTTAACAATTTCCAAAGGATATAAAGTAATGACGTTTAGAATAGGACATTTTTTCCTTTAATTACTTGGTTCATAGATCAGAGTAATTATATTTTAACAGTTATCATGTATTATAATCTTAAAGTAATTACTGCAGCTGCCAGCTGTTGAATAATTAGATTAATTCACCCAAGAAATGTTTTGCAACAAGCTCTGTTTGTTTCATTAACGGCGTGGATACAGGCCGACTGAAAGGACAATGTAATAACTCCATTACTAAGGGAGCTAGAGAAGTGTTTTTAAAGAGTGATTGTATGAATTGGGGGATATAGTCAGTAGAGATCTAATGTGCCCAATATTATATTATATTATTTTATTTATGGTTGTCAGACCATATGATAATGAGGTTGTTACAGTGCATGAAACAATTCCAGCCACCAAAAACAAAATATTAGAGGACCAGGCACTTTTAGCTCTTATATTCAAAACCATAAGTACACATTTCTTCCAAATGTTCTAGATCTGTTGTGGTTTTACTGAACACATATCGCTTGTATATGCTGATGGGCACTGAGCAAGCCCACCAGGTTGCAAGATTTAGATTACATGTTAGGTTAAAGAAAAAAAGCTGACTTAAGAAAAGTTTTGGTCAAAATTTCACAAACTTTTTTTTAAGTTAAAGCTCAAATCACCAAGGACTACTTTCTTCACATGCTTGTGGTTATAATGTAACCGTTAAGCAGTTTTAAAACCAGCAGTCGGTTGTTGTGGCTAAAAGACACAAACAGGCTTCTGTGGTCCATCCCTGATACCGACCACCACTTATGTATCTACAGTTTTGCAAATTATGTATATATCGAGAAAAAGTATCAGTTTCCCATTTATTTCCAATGCAACTTTACCAGGACTCAATGCATACATACTTTACCTGCAATTATCTGGTCAAGATGCCCTTAGTGGTTCTATACCCGATTCATCTTTCACAAGTATTTTTTTAAAATTGCATATCTTATGCTTACAGATGGACTTTTGTGCTTAAATGGACACTATAGACACCAAAACAACTTCATATCTTATGTCAAGGGGTTAAACTGCTCTCTAATCCCAAAGTTGCCACAAGCAGCGATTTCCACTCAGGAAGTGCCAAGTGCACCGGGTAGGGGCGACACTGATTTGTTGAGAGCGGGCAGCTGACACTCTCACCCAATCAGTGACTCCTCCATTCACAAAACCAGCTTGGATTTTATTTCTATTTTTATCTTTCCATATACCACTGTGGAGGATTGGATACCGCATTATACCATCACTTGATATCCTGAGACGGGGATTATACCGTCTAGGCGCTATACGGCAGAGCTCTGAGTAGCTCTGCAAAGTGTGAGTGAGTCTTTTATAAGCTTTTATATACTCTTATTTCACTTGACATATTGCACTATTATTGTTCTGTACTTTTTTGCCTTGAAGGTTTTATACATTCCTAATTAGAGGACTCTCTGTATGTATATATTTTAATTATTATTTGCACTGTTTGGGCGCGGTTTACCACTTTTGTCTCTTCTGTTTTACTACTGTGAGCAGGTATTGGGAATTCCTGCTTGGTTCACTGCTGCCCACCTTTAGTTTATTTAGTGAGCGCCTAACTCCTCTTTGTTGTGGAACGAAAAGTACCTTCCTGAATCTTCCTGAATCTAAAAATTCAGAAGCCGGATGCAGCCTGGGGTGGAGTGGACATTGCCACTGAAAGCAGCTTTGTGGTTGAACCGTTTAAGAGCAGTTTAAACAAGTATGTCCCGTCTAGGCCCTTACGCTCTGCTGAAGACTTATGTCTATCTTCTGTCCATACTCCCACCTCTGATGCTCGCCTTCAAGACATCTCGAGGGCTGCACCGTTCCTGTGGAACTCACTTCCCTCCTCTGTTAGATGCTCACCCAGTCTCCACTCCTTCAAAAAATCATTAAAAACCCACTTCTTCATAAAAGCGTATCAGTTAAACTGTTAATAGCCTCCCTCTCTTGCAACTGTCGTTAGTCTAATACTATTCTTACCTTTTGTGTCACTTTACCCCACTCCCTCTAACATGTAAGCTCATTGAGCAGGGCCCTCAACCCCTCTGTTCCTTTGTGTCCAACTTGTCTGGTTACAACTACATGTTTGTTCGTCCACCCACTGTAAAGTGTTGCGGAATTTGTTGGTGCTATATAAATAAGACGATAAAAATATGCCTGGAGTGTCCCTTTAATTCTAGTTAAATATAAAATAAATGTACATTTTAAAATGTAGAATATAGTGAACGTTTGCAGGCATTCATTTGGCTTTTTTCTTTACACCTGATTAGTCAAGCTTCATTTTTACTGTTTAGCATTGAAACCAGGTGTGATTTAACATTTACTACCCCCTATTAATCTATAAGGGATATGTTAAAACTTTTGGCAGCCACTAATTATCAGTCACTTTAAAGTTTATAGTATGGAAATAGCCGGTTAGCACTGTTTGAGACAGCTATTTATTGAACAATCAGTAAATGGTTGTGATATAGAAGTAAGTATCAAGTTAGAAATAGTTGATTTCATTTTGGAAATTCAGTTTTCAACTCACCCCACATCACAGTTTAGTGAATACTCTCTATGTCCTGCCAGTTATATCACGGAAACTTAAATGTAAATCACGCATACGTAACCAAATGATGAATAATAGTGTTATTAATGTGTATTATTTATTCTTATTTTTAAGATAATAGGCGTCATATTTATTTGTTTTTAAGCTATCTTAGATTGGGTCAGTAAAATGAACAACCTATATATTTAAAGAAATCTAATTTTGTTCTTCATATCATAGGAAAGCATTGTTTTGAAATCTTCATTATTTGGAATTCTAGGAAGGGTTTTTGTGGCAGAGAATAAGTCAAGGTTCTTGAGGTTGAGTAAAGAGATTTTTAGTTGAAGTTCTTGACCACAATGGCCTGGTGATGTCTCCTGAGTCCAATTAAAAACTGCATGTTTCTAACTGGAAACAGGTCAGTTTACTAAATGAACTAGTTGTATAAAATGCTTTTGAGTGTGGTAAAAGTATCTAAAAAGATGGTCTTTATGTCAACTCTTATTTAATCACAAAAAGTGATACAAATGTACTCGGAAATAAAAGGTTTAACCCCTTAAGGATACATGACGGAAATATTCCATCATGATTCCCTTTTATTTCAGAAGTTGTGTCCTTAGGCAGTTAATGTTGCTACTGAATATTGATTGTAAATGTAGTGAAAGGTAATATAAAGTATACCAACTGAAATTATTTTAGTCTTTAGTTTAGTTTAGTTTTTGAAAGGCAAAAAGGGGGGGGGGGACAAAAAACAAAAAAATAACAAACAGAAACAAGTGCAATACACCCAATTACCCTTTCGTGGTTTATTTTTGTTTGCTTAAAAAGTCATAACCTTTTTGAGAACATTTTGATATTTATTTGAATAAAATAAAATTCTGCAGTCAGCAAAATGAAGACAGGCTTAATTTACATTTTCTATGTTGCTATCTTGACCTGTTACACATCCCACTGTTTTTTTTTTTTACTGCTTTGTAAACTGCATATATATCTGTTAGAATATCGTGCTGTTTTTTTACAAAATCAGTGCTGTCAAGTATTGTCTGCTTCTTCTATTTAAGTATATAAAGATCCTACAGTGTCCCCTCTCAGTATGGTAGCTTAAATGCCGCTTGTCAATTTTTTAGTTCAAGGAAGAGTCCCTTTTGGATTGTCATTTGGGAAAGAGCTAAATTGTTTTGCCTAATATAGCAAGGCAATTTGTTTAGTGAAAATGACTGTATTTACTCTTAAAGTAAAAAATTAAAAAAAATAAAACCATAAAACCTAGGGACCACTTCTTCAACCAAACTGGATCTGCTTCCTCCACGTATGCTCGGGTTTATAGCACTCCCTTGTTAAAGGGTTACTTCTTTAACAAATAGCATTTTTTTCAGTCGCAATGGTCTAGTGGGCAATATTCTTAAGCCACCCCCTTGATTTAAAGAACAAAGGTATAAAAATAAGGTTATACTTATCTGAAATCCAGTGGTGGGCAAAGCTCCCAGCGCTTCTCTCCATTCACTAATGACGGTGCCGACACAAGGTGCAGTCAAATGCTTCTTAATAGAGAAGCCATTTCATCAGGGCTTAAATGGAAGGTCTTTATTGAAACCTTTAGGATTAATGTTGTTTCATTTAAACCCCAGATATTACTTTATAGGCTTTGAGACCCCTTCCCCTGCATAAGTAGGCTTTTGGTAAAAGCAGGAGCCATCCCCAGGGTTTACAGCTCTGCCTTGGGGCATTTTCTGCAAATGTAGTTCTGATGTTTTTTATTTTCTAACAATTTTTTTTTTTTTACCAAATCAGCCCACTAAATCAAGTGGGAACCATATCTTCAAAATAAGTGACAGCACTGTTTGATAGCTAACATTGTACATCAGTAACACATGTTGTGTTTAACCCCTTAAGGACCAAACTTCTGGAATAAAAGGAAATCATGACATGTCACACATGTCATGTGTCCTTAAGGGGTTAATTAATGTTCAAGAGCTCTTTTGAGGACATTTGACATCTTCTATGACCACATCTGGACTTGATAGAAAGGTACTAGAAATAAATTAATTATAGGCTATGAGACCCTTCTTCAGTACCCCAATGAGACATTTCTATAATGTAAATAAGAACTGTGCTAGACAGCAGGATGTGGCATCCAGATGCCTTCATAAAAATGTCACAAAAATAGTTATGGTGGTTCATATGCTAAATGATAAACATCCTATCTTGATTATTATTATTAGCATTTATGTAGCGCAACTTAGTCTGCAGTACTTATCATGTAACTCTTACAACCCTGTTATTTCAATGTGACTATGCTTTCCTGGTGAGAGCAAGTCTGCAAAAACATTTTTTTCCCCCTTCAATGTATACGGTTGCAGTTTTTATGGATAGATAAGCATTTGAGTAAGTGTGTAAGTGGAGAGCACTGCCTAGCCTAATCTACGTCATTTTCATGATCCTCTAAAATGTAGGCGTATGTTTCCAGGTAATCTTAATCTTTTACTTAAACATTTACCAATTTCTCTCTTTCCACTCCACTTTCTGTATCATCTCCTTTCTGCATTATTATATATATCATTATCACTCCTGGCATTCCTTCATGTCCCTATTACATGTGTCCTGTACATCCCCTTCCTACACTGACTGCTGTAGCAGAGCCAGTTGGGACCATTGAGGAGGTATGTCAATGGTCTTTTCTGTCCTAGGTATCATCTCTAATCACATGTCCTTACAGTATATTGTAGGCCTGCAGCACTTATAAATCCAAGAACAGAGGTGGCACAACTATGATTATATAGTAACCTTTATTGCTGTATCCATCAGAGCAGCAATGTTTAATGCTTATGCCATAGTCATATATTCTTATCACTGACAGTATGCAGTGTTGCTATGTGTGTGGATAGGAAAACAATCCATACAACATAGTATTATTGATGGGGCCTGGCACAGGAAAGATTACAATCAAGCCTCCAGCACAGTGAGCCCTGATGGGCCGTGCTACAGTATATTAGTAATGTGGGAGGAATGTATTAGTTTTAGTGGCGTCACAAGGCAGGTGCAGGGGGCCATGCTACAGTATAATACCAATGTGGGAGGAATGTATTAGTTTTAGTGGCATCACAAGGGTGTGCATCACAGGGGGGTTGACACCACGGCACCAGCAGTGCCGGCGCATCCATAAGGCAGCACAAGCCACTGCCTTAGGGCGCACCGGCCCAGGGGGAGCTAGATTGGAGTGACCGGTTGGAGGTGGGCACACAGCACTCCCTCCTGCCAGTCACTTAGTCAGTGTAGAGTGGCCGAGTGGAGCAGTGGCCGAGCGGTATATGAACTTCTGTTTCCTGTACCCGGCCGGACTGAAAGGAAGATCTCACTGAGAGAGCACATCCTGTCAGTCCGACCAGGTACAGGAAACTGAAGCTCCTGTACAGCGCGGACTGCTCCGCCTGGCTACACTATCCGAAGGGTAGAAGACACACGGGGGCCGGAAGAGAAACCCTATGGGACAGGGAAGGGGGTGGGGAGAACACTATGAGATGGAGGGGTAGAAGAACACTATGGGACAGGGGAGGGAGGAAAGAACAGTATGGGACAAGGGAGTGGGGGGAGGAAAGAGCACTATGGGACAGGGTGGGGGAGGAAGGAACACTATGGGACATGGGATGGGGCAAACAACACTATAGGACAGAGGAGGATGGGAGGAAAGAACAGTATGGGACAGGGGAGTGGGGGGAGGAAAGAACACTATGAGATGGGAAGGGAAGGAAAGAACACTATGGGACAGGGCAGGGGGGAGGAAAGAACACTATGGGACAGGGGAGGGGAAAAGAACAGTATGGGACAGGGGATCAGGGGGGAGGAAAGAACACTATGGGATGGGAGGAGGAAAGAACACTATTGGGCAGGGGAGGAGGGGAGGAGAGAGCACTATGGGAGGGGGGGAGGAAAGAGCACTATGGGAGGGGGAGGAAAGAGCACTATGGGACAGAGGAGGGGGGAGGAAAGAGCACAATGGGACAGGGAGGGAAAAGAACACTATGGACTGGGGAGAAAGAACACAATGGACAGAGGAGGGGAGGGAAGAACACTATAGGACGGGAGTGGGAAGAACACTATGGGATGTGGGGAGAAAGAACACTATGGCACTATGAAACAGGATGGGAGAAAGAGCACAATGGGTAGGAGGGGAGAAAGAACACTATGGGACAGTGGAGGGAGGAAGAACACTATGGAGGAGGGAGAAAGAACACTATGGGACGGGGGGAGACACTAGGGGGGAGAGAGAGGAACATTAAGGTGGGCACTAAGGTACAGGGGAGGCAAGGGAAAAGGAACACAGGTGGGGGGGACCACTAAAAGAGAAGGGAGAAGAACACTAAGAGTGGGGGAGGAACCTTAATGGAAATGGGGGGCACTAAGAGACAGGTAAGGGGGGGAAGAGAAACACTAAGGCACAGGAAAGGGAGGGGAGAGGAACAATATGGGACATGGAGGGGGTTGGGGTGACACCATCCCTAGTGACGCCACTAATGTCAAACTAACTTGATTGCATTCTACAAAGAAGTAAGTAGAAGTATAGATCAGGATGTTGCAGTGGATGTGATCTATTTGGATTTTGCCAGGGCATTTGATACAGTTCCACATAACAGATTTGTGTTGAAACTCAAATAAATCGGTCTAGATGAAAATTCATGTTCTAGGGTAGAACATTGGCTTAAAAATAGAGTACAGAGAGTTGTCATTTATGGTACATTTTCAAGCTGGACATAGGTGGCAAGTGGTGTCCCTCGGGGTTCGGTTTTGGGACCCCTTCTATTTAACATGTTTATAAATTATCTTGAAAAAAGCATTGAAAGTCATGTTTCAGTGTTTGCAGATGAAACAAAA